CTCTGCACAAACACAAACCATGCCCTGGGAGCCACAGCTCCTGCACCCATCCCATTACCAAGGCTCATGGTGTCGCACTAACAGGCCTGACCTCAAAGCCCTGTGTGAAGCTGGGGGGGGGGTCGCTATCTCCATTGTACCGCTGGGGAAACTGAGGCAGTGAGTGTTACCCAGAGACACTTAGCAAGTGGGTGGCTGAGCCAGTCCCAAACCCAGCCCTCCCGACTCCTACCCACTAGGCCATGCTGCCCCATGCGGCTCTAGGGCATCGCTGCTATTGCGCCTCCACGTCATGCAGCCCACTTCCTGCAGAGCAAGGGGCTGGCTCCAGACCCTCTCGCTTGTTCCCCCCTGATGGCCAAACTTGCCCTTTTATGTCCCCTCAGGCCAGCTTGTTCCAAGCACTGGCACAGGGGCAGCCAAAGGGGGTCCCCACTTGTCCCAGTGCCCACAGCCCCCCGCTCTTCGTGGCTGCAGAAAGGCTGAGGACCGACCGGTCGGGGCTGAGGGAGCTTGGCAGGCAGCAGAGTGTGAGCAGTGCTGGGGGGACGCTGGCGAGGACTTGGGCCCTTCCACAAACTGCCTGAGCAGCGCCCTGGGCTCAGCCTCAGCCAGGTTAGGTCCTAGGCCATGCGGGGGTGGCTCGTGCCCCCCACCTGGCAGGAGGGAGCTGCCCCCCACAGTTAGCTGTGTCCCGGGCGTGGCAGCTCACAAGCTGTTCTTCCTTCCATGCAAGGGGGCCCGGTCGGTAACATGGACCCCGGTTTATAGGTGGGGAAACAGAGGCAGAGCAAGAGGGAGCAACTTGTCACACTCAAGCAGCAGAGCCAGGCCTAGACGCCAGCTTGTCCAAGCCCAGCCCCGTGCTCCTGCCATTAGGCAACGCTGTCTAAAGTCAGACGGGTGCACCATGGCGCTGGGCATAAAAGTCCTGAGACACACTGTGCTCCCCTCTCCCCTCAGTTAGACCCCCTCCCACCGTCCCAGACATGGGACTAGGACCCCCCCAGACTCCCCATTAAATTCCCTGCTCCTGCTCCAGAGCCGGGAGGAGACCTCAGGGGTGGCAGGGGTGTTTTCTATTGCTGGGTCCGGCCCAGCCCGTCACCGAGTCCTGCCTGTGAAGTGGGGCCCTTCGCCCGCCCCCAGGAGAAAACACGACTCACCCACCTGGCTTGGCTGGAGGTGGCTCCGGGTGGCAGCAGCAATGCTGGCACAAGGCGTGGCGGGGCACGGCGCACTGTTCCCCGCTAGACTGGGTCCACCCGGGGGAAACCCCTGCAGGGCGGCTGCACCCGGGGGAGGAAAGGAGAGCGAAATGAGCGAAGGAGCCGGCGTGGAGGGGAGTTTTGAAACAGTCCAAAGGGTCCGGATTGGACAGCGATGCTTCCTGGGCTGTGCCATCCTGAGGCTGGGATTTCAGGGCTGCACGGGGGCTCTGTCTCCAGTCTCTCTCTCTCGCCCAGGCTCCGGCCCCCTCTCCAGAGGTGGGCTCTCTCGCGCTCTGCAGCAGGGAGGTGCGGCTCCCCAGGGCTGCCCTGTGTGCCTTCCCCAGTGCCCCCCCTCGCTCCCCGAGGCTCCCTCTGGCTTGGAAAGCCTTTCTCCCGGAACCGAGCCTCATTTCCTGCTGGCACATGGAAAGGGAAGCTGTGCCGTCCCTGCTCTGCAACCACAAGGCCTCCGCCAGCTCCGTGCTGGGAGGGAGGGCGGCTCCGAGGTCAGCGGGGGCTCAGGGATGTCCCCTGCAGCTGCCTCCGCTCGCGTCCCAGAGCGATGGCTGCAGTCCCAGCAGGCGCCAGCCCTGCCAACTGGGCCGGATCAGGCTTGTCTCGTCCTGTCCCAGCAGTGCTGGGGCTGCCTGGCGGCGGCGCGGAGGAGCCCCCTTATCAGCCGCTGCCCTGCGCCCCAACGGCCACAGGCTTGAGCCTCACGGTGGGCGACGCCAGGCCTTGCTTCCTTGCTCGGGCTCTGCAACCGGGGCAGTGCCAGCTGGTTGCCAAGCGCAGGGCAATTGCAGGGCCGGAGAGCAGCTGCCCGGGGGCTGTTTGGGATCCCAGATCAGGGTGCCTGGGGGCTGCCCAGCAGGGGCAGGCGGAGGAGCAGAGCCAGCCCAAGCCCCCCAGAAGCACCGGGGCATTGGCAGCCTGGGGGGCATCATGGGGGGGGGGCCCCGGGGGCCGGCGGGGGATGGGCAATCCCTCTGGCCTCAGGCTGCTTGTCAGTGGGAATGCTGGGTCAGCCCCTCTGGCGCTCCTCTGT